ATAAATGTCATTCATACAAAATAGAAGATAATTGTGTTTCAATTGAATTATAAAAACATAAATTGTATTAATAAATAAAAATCAATCATTTGTATTAATTATATTTTATTTTCAACAACACCAATACAAACACATAATTTTTGATGATTAAATTCAGTTTTAATTGAAAGTTAATCATTTTTTTGAAGTTCAATGTATCATATAACAATATTATATCAATTAAAATATATTATTGAAAAGAGTAATAAATTGAATTGATATTCAACAACAAGTTCACGATAAAACATATCTATTTGAATAAAAAGAAATATCTGGAATGAATGACTAACAGATGAATATTGAATGAATCATGTTTTTGATATTAAAAACACACTTTCAATTAAAGAAGAATGTGAATGTTCTACTATTTTCAGTGTTATTAAAACATCACTAATTGAATAGAAGTTATTACTCATCAACAACAAGAAGACAAAAGTTATGAAGAAGAATGTATTAGTTATTTTAAAGAATGAAACACAATCATTTTACTGCATGATGATACAACTAAAGAGAAAGAAGAGTTTTTTGTTATTTATAATAGAATAATGGAATAGATGTTGATGTGACTTACCAAAACCAAAATGCAACAAAGAAGATAGTGATAAGAAAGAGTATTAATATAAATAAAACATGATGTATTGATTGAGTATGAGAATATGTAACTAAAATAAACAACAAACATTTTGATTGTTTATTCGGTGAAAGTGTTTGTTTTAAGAAAGAAAAGTTCAAAGGAAAAGAAGTTTGAATAACAAATGAAAATATGATTATTGAATAGAAGTATTGATAAAGAAATTGTGGATGAATGAGAGAGAAATCATTGAATTTATTGTTTATTTGATTGTAATATTAAATACAAGGTATTACAAAGTTATTGTTTATGATTCAACACATATGACAATGAAACAATACAACTGAACACAAGTGAATTTAGTCGAATTCATCGTATAACCATAAGAATTGAAGAATTTGAACATATTAATACTCTCTAATCAATTAATTTGTTGTTTTGAAGAAAGACAGACAAGAAAATATGTTATTGAATAGGGAAGAACTATTGTTTATTCTTTTAGTCTATTGATAAATTCAATTATCCAATAACAATTCAATTTATATAATTCATTGAATACTAAATACTAATAAAAGAGATGTGAATAAGCATATAATCAGTATATTTCATTTATTTATTGTTGAATTACATTTGATTAATTACAAACAATACAAAATAGCAAATGTTTACTAACTATTTAATAAACAAATAAACTGTTAACATCAATAAGAAATAAATAGAAGAATAGATAAAATAATAAGAAACAATCTCTTAATGACTAAAATAATAGTATAATAATTATATTAACCAATACAATTACATATTTACAACAATAACTATAGATATAAAAATGTAATAGAAAAATACTTTTTATAAACACTGCATATTTGAGCAATAAAAATAACAGAAATATTATGTGTGAAAATGAAATAGTTATGAGTAATTTTATATAACATATTTTATATATCCTTTTTATTTATCAACCATTCGATTTATAACAAAAAAAAAAACAAAATAATAACCAAATCACCAATATTGAAATTAAAGTGAATCATAAGTGTCTAAACGATGTTTCTTGTGAACAATGATTCCAGTAATTACGATAATTGCAAGTATAATTCCAATAACTATAAAGCCACCAACACATCCGACAATTACCCAGAATAAATCATCACTAAATAAACTTTCACTTGAACTTGACTCTTGGAAACAAACATCAACAATACATTTATTATTGAATCTATCAAATTTATAACCAGGTTCACAATATGAAGCAACACATTCAGTACTCCATTTACCATCATCTCCACAAATATGCCCTCCATGAGCATGCTCAATAGTAATATTATTGTCACAAGCACTATCTACTTTAACAAGTCTTTTATTTAATGGATTACATTCACTTTGGTATTTCTTATAAATCTTTAATCCTTCATCAACAAATTGGTCAATTTTACTTGGGCTATACTTAAAAATGTTAACTCGTTCATCGACAGGATTTAAGACAAATTCTCTTGGAATAGTTTCATTGTAATTATAATTCCATTCAAAGGTTTCAAAGAATGATATTCTCATATATCCTCCTAATTCAGCAAGAACTTTAGCTTCATCCATAAAAACTTCGTCTTGAGTAATAACTGGAGTTGGTGAATTTCCAGCATCAAAACTTTCAAGAGATAATTCAGGATCACCTTCATAACCAACAACAATAGCATTACCTTTATTTACCATTCCTTTAGCCAAAACACTACAAGCAGAATAACAAAATCCATCTGTCATAATAATAACATCAGTTGGATTTCTTGGATTTTTTACTAATTTAGCTTCGAGCATTGTAGAAGCATGCATAAGAGTGTTTTGAGAATAAACATGTTCAACATCTCCGTAGTGAGTTATTTTTGGTTGAGTGTACCATTCTCCTAATGGAATAGATTTGTTTGTTTCATTGTAAAGAACTTGACAATTATCAGTGTCATAAAGATATTCTCCATATTCATTTTTCATACAACCTTCACTTCCTTTTGAAATTCTAACACTTCCAATTAGATCTACGTCGGCATGTGGTGCAAGGACTTGTTCAAAATTAGCTTCTAAATCAGCATATCCACCTCCATTCATTGGAAGGATAACAATAATAGGATTAGTATTTTCATCTATAGTTTTAATACATTTATTAAATACTTCAAAGAAATTATCAAATTCAACTTCTGGATAGAATGTCTTTAAAACAATAGTATTAACTTTCTTTTCTGAATCAAATTTACAAGCCAAATTACCATCAGATGATTCTAAATCAAAAACTTTATCAGATTTCTTATAAGTAACAAAATCTTCAATAGAAATTGGTGCAGTAGATCTTCTTTCTTTTTGTGAAATTTTTCTGGCAATATGTTCATTAAGTGTTTGTGGTGGAATATACACCATTTGGTATTGTGTTGAAATTGAGACATCTCCTGTTAATAAAATATTAATTGGTTGTGAAAGAAATTCTTGTGAAAGAAGATTAGATCTTAATGAAACAAATGACATTGATTCAAGTGCATACGTAAATCTTCCATGTGGTGATTTGAGGAATGCATGATCTTCTGCCCATTTCTTTACAAATGTATGTGGTTTATCTCCATTAATTGATGTGATAATTTTACCATCATTATTTGTAATTTCTTCTGGAATTTTACCACCAAGAGAAGAGAGTTGAGAATTAGGATGAATAATATAATTACCATCAACAATATCAATTGTAAAAGGTAATGAGGCATAAAAATTATCATAATAATATGTATTATTCTCATTTGAAGTTAAACGGAATGAAAGATGAAGGTCATGAGTTGTATCAACAATGTATTGAATTTTCTGCATAAATGGATAAACTGCTTGATCTTCAAGTAAAGGAAGAGAAGCAAGTTGAGCATCAATATCTAATGTTGGGAAGAACTTATTATCAAAAGATGGTTGTGGTGGGTTCTTCAAAATGTCTTTAAAAACATATGTTTGAAAGAGAGATTGTAATGAGTGTTGAATGTTTGTTGCTTTTTCTAAAGAAAGACTAACAGAATTAATACATTCAAAAGCATCAATAACAGAATAAACTCCAGGTGTTAATTCTTTGCATTGAGTAGCAAATGCAATTGCGATTAATGTAGTTATAACGAGCATAAAGTAAGATTATGAATAAAAAGTAAGGGTTTTATGAAATACACTAAAACCCAAAGAAAAAGTTAAAAATAAATACTGTTTCTTTTCATTATTCTTTCTTCTAAAAGATTATTTGAATATTTTCATTTTTTTAATAATTTTTTATAAAATGTGTGTTATTCCCAAAAATATCATAAAAACTTGAATAATACATCAAAAAAAAAAAGAAAAACTCAAATGTATTAAAATTATAAATTATGAATTTTTATGATTGTATAATAATTTGTTTTTCAATATTATTTTTTGTTTCATATTTTTGTGTTAGATATCTTGGTAATTATACAATAATTACCTCTTTTATTATCTTCTTTCTTCTTTATCTTTTCTTTTCAGTTTTTTATTAAATGAAAAAAAAAATCATGGAGTTGATATTAAAATATGATGAAATGTATGTTATTTGTTAATATTCTTTATGTACATAACATCAACAATTCTCAGAATCAATTAGATTAATGTTTTTTTCATTATAAATGTAGTTTTTTATTAAAAAAAACACAGTAACTGTTTAAACATATTAAAGAATCAAATGTTCTTAAAAAATAAATAATAGAATTAGACTAAGAATATTTCATGAATTCAGTGAGTTGATTAAAAATGGTTAAGAAATAGAATGGAGAAAGAAGAATAAAAGGTATAAATAATGAACAATAAATTATTCAATATTATTTATTCTCATGGTTATACTATTATATATATACATCAAAACCAAATGTAACATAAAGAATAAATAATTCCATAATAAAACTATGAGTCATATAAACAATTATAAATATAAAAAACGAAACAATAAATAATTAATAAATTTACCAATTGTATTTAAACAGAATGATAATAAATTATGGATAATATTAAAACAGTTTTATGTTCATAGCATTTATTTCTGTGATTAAAAATTATTGTCTCATTCTTTTTTTTTGTTATTGTAATTTTCTAATTTGAAAATTAAATTGTTTTGTTAATGACATTTTAATGAAACAATACTAACTTAGAACATTAACGAGAGAAGATGTTTTGTTTTTTTCTGTTGAAAAATAAAAAATAAATAAGATAATACCATTAGGAAAAAAATAATACTGTGAAAAGACTCTTAGCGAATTAAAATATCTAAAAGATATAGTTATTTTAACATTAAAACTAATAAACTACAAAGAGGATTTGAATGAGGAATCTAAGAAGTATTTAAAAAAAGAATTAACTTAGATTTTATTAAAAAAAGATGACTGAAGCAGACATTAAACATGTATTTGACATGATAGATACAGATCATTCTGGATATCTTGATATTGATGAATTTGTAAAGGCATGTTCACAATTAATTGAAGGATGTGAAAAAGAAAGTGCAGTTGCACTATTTCATATGGCAGACGAAAATGAAGATGGTAAAATGGATTTGAATGAATTTAAAAATATGATTGAATTCTATTTAAAGAACTCCGAAGAAGAAGATCCATATGTTTTATTATTTAAAAGATGTGATGTAAACGGAGATGGTGTTTTAGATAAGAAAGAAGTTTTTGATATTCTCCAAAGCATTGACCCAAATATTACTATACAAGATATAAATGAAACATTTGATATATATGATACGGATAAAAATGGTTCATTAGACTTTGATGAATATATGAAAATGGTTGAAGATATTAAATCACAATAATTGAATTTCTTTTTTTTTTTTGATGAAATAACAAAATTTAAATCAAAATATGTTATTTAAAGATTAAAAATAATCAGAATCAAACTTAAAAGATACTTATTATTACATTAATGGAAACACTTCTTGAATTAAACAATGTAATGAAAATGGATATCAGTCGTGTATTTCGTGAAATTAAAACTGAACGTGATCCTCGAACAATTAAATCAAATGAAAAAACAATTGTATGTCAACATTGGTTAAGAGGAATGTGTAGAAAAGGAGCAAATTGTGACTTTCTTCATCGTTTAGATGAAGAAAGAACACCAGCTTGTCATCACTTTGTAAAATATGGAAAATGTGAGAAACCAGAATGTCCATTTAAACATGAAGACCCACAAAAGGCAATTCCTTGTGAATGGTATAAAAGAGGATTTTGTAAACATGGAAAGAAATGTAAACATGGACATGTCCCAAAATTAATGTGTCCTTTATTTTATCTTGGATTTTGTCCCTACGGTAAAAAGTGTAAATTTGTTCATCCAACAATTTCTGTTCCAAGAGAAACTATAGAAAAAACACAACCCAGAGGAGAACGTTTTCCTCGTGATGGAGATGAAAAAAATGCAAACTTCAAACATGAATTTACAAAACCAAAAAGAGATTAATTTTTTGTTTTATTAAATTTGTTCTTTTTTTTTGTTTTTTGTTTTAAATCAAATTAAATATGAAATAGTTTTAGTTAATAATAAAAATAATTATTATAAAAAAACCTAATAGTATTTAAGGGAGATAGAATCTTGATTAAAATTGTGCAAGGGTTATCATGCTGAATACTTCTATAAAATTTTCGGTTTTCACAACCCTAAGATAATAATGGGAATACTTTTGATCAATACTCAGTGTCTTGGTCATCCTTCTTTCCCAAGATTTTTATATTTTTTGATTTTATCTTATTATTTAAATAAATTACTTATTTAATGGAAAAACCTATTGGAATAAATAATATTATTAATGAAGTTCAATGTAAAATAAAGGAAGTATATAATAAGTTACCTAAAAAAGGAAAAGAACAAGAAAATGAATGGAGTGTTTTAGCTTCTCTTATTGCATTTGATAAACAAAAAAAAGAATATGAAATTCTTTCTATAGGAACAGGAAGTAAATGTGTTACAAGTAAACAACATAACAATAATATTATAAATGACTCTCATGCTGAAGTGATTTGTAAAAGAGCCTTTCAATTGTTTTTATTAGAACAAATTTCTAAAGAACAATATATAGAAAAGGCACCTTCTAAAAGTGAAACAGAAACAAAATGGAAATGGAGATATGACAAATATGATTTGATTTTTTATATAAGCCAAGTCCCATGTGGTGATTGTTGTATCTCAAGCAATGGAACAATTAATAAAGACATTGAAACTGGAGCAAAAAGGATTATAAATAATTCTATAGAACAAACTATTGCCTTATGGGAAGAAAAAGATATTAAAGATGGCATTGGAAAGACAAGAATTAAACCTGGAAAAGGAGAAAAGTCATTAAGTATGTCATGTAGCGATAAAATATTGAAATGGGAAGTTCTGGGTATTCAAGGAGGAATTTTGGCTAATCATTTTGAAATGATAAGACTTAATCTTATTATTATAGAAAAGCCAGCAGATGAAGATGCAGTCATGAGAGGAATTCATTTAAGAACAATACAAATGAACACTTTATTCACAGAAAAAAATTACAAAGTTAACATTCCACCTTTTATTTATTTAAGTCAACCTAGTCATCTAGTAAAACACAAAACTGATGGGTTGTCTGCTGCTGGTAGTTCCATTAATTTTATTAATGAAATGGATGAAGAAGTCACACTAGGAGCACGAGGTGTTAAGTTTGGTGCAGGGAAAAAAGTTGTTGATTCTCAAAGAAGTCGTTTGTGTCAAATGAAAATACGAGAAAAGTACAGTGATGTATTTCATATTCAGAAAGACAAAATATATCAAGACGATGAATATTATAAAAGAAAAGTATTTTTCAAACAATGTGTTGAAGGAGGATGGACAATTAAATAAAATATTATTTATGTTATATAAAACGAATTTAAATAATTTTTAAATAATTTGAGTTTAGTTAAAAAAAAAAACATCAAAAAATTGGGACAAAATGAAAAATCACTTTCAAAAAAAAAAAATAAACGAAGTATAATCTTTGTTATTTACGAAAAAAAAAGAAAAACAAAACAAAAAGGAAAAAATAAATACAAAATCATCAAAAAGTTGTAATAAAAAGGAAAATCATAAAAAAACTAAAAATCAAATTTAAGTTTTACTTAAAAGGAAATGCCTAAACAAAGTAGAAAGAAAATTAAACAAATAAAAAGTACTATGACAACCAAACCTAACACTACTAATGTAATTGGAAATATATCTGTTTGTTGTATAATTTTTTTATTTAGTAAACAAAATGTATTAATATATTAGGAAAATATTCTTCACCAAGAATTAAATGAACGTAGAAATGGTATTATCCAAACTAATGGTCATCTTCCTTCGTTAGAAATGTCTGTTGGAAATGGAACTCAAGTTAAATTAAATCAACCAGGAAATACCCAACCTATTCAATTTATTCCTCAAATGATCCCTGGTCAAAATCCTCAAATGATTCATACAATACAAGGACAACATTTCATCAATCATTCAAATGAACTTTTTAAAAATGCTTATCATATGATCCCTTCAACTACTTTACAAAATGGCGTTCATCAAGTTCAGCCTCAACAACCTCAAGGACAACAACAATTTCAACAACAAAAAGTATTTTCTTTTCAACAAATGCCTCAAGGAAAAGGACAACCTACAATCCTCTACCAAAATCCAACATATGTTATACCAACTGGACCACAAAATCAACGAATCGTTGAAGCTCTTGCTGGTCAAACTCAATTGATTCAACCAAATAATATTAACAGACAACCAGAACAAACTCAAAGAGTTTCTATGCCTACGCTTAATGGTCAACCAAATATCACAACAATACCTAATGGTATTCAACAAATTAAAGTACAACCTCAACCTATCTCAATGAGAAATGTAATTGGAATAACAATGCCTCCTGCTTATTCTACAATTCAACCTAATCCAAATGTTAGAAATATACAAAATTTCCAAAAAATAGTACCAACAAGTACTCTTCAAAATACAACTACAGGTCAACCAATTCAACAACCTCAAATATTACAACAAATTAATCCTCAACTTCAACAAAATTTAAATCAACAACCTCAACACACTATACCCCAACAACTCTCAAGTAATATTATAAATACTCAACCCCAACAACAAACAAATAAACAACAACCTATCACTAATCCAAACCAAAATACATTTCAAACTATAAACTCTAATTCTGGTCAAAGAGTTTTATTTGCTTACCCTTCTTCAAATGTTATGATTAATCCAAATATTATGTTACAACCAGTAAAAGAAAATGGAAATACCATTCCTCAACAACAAACTGGGTTACGATTTGCTCCAACACAAACTACACAATTAAATGTCAATCAAACTGCACAATTAAATCAAACACAAATAAACCCTCAACAACCAACACAAATAACTCAAACACAACAAAGAATTCCTGCTCCTATTCAACCTAATTTTAAACAACGAAATCAACAAGAATTCCAAACAAGTCAAAATATTTCAAATTTAACAGCAATTAACACTCCTGTTATTGGGCAGTTTACCTATAACCCAATAACTCCACATTTTCAGTTTCAGCAACAACATCAAAGACCAATCCAATTTGCTCCAGGAGGATTCCAACCTACAATCCCTGAAACAAAAAAAGTAATAGAAACAACATTTAGACCAGGAAATACAAATCCTAAATTTATTTTGAAATCAAATGGAGAGAATATAGATTCTTTTACCATTCAACAACAACTAGATTTACATAGTAATTTTATGGCGCCTATGGCACAAGGATTAAATAGAAGTATTGGTGTAAATACAAAAGGATATGTTATTGCTTCACCTCTACCACCTAAAGTAACAACCCCATCAGTAAAGTCATCAACCCATAATATGTCAATAGGTGTTAAAGAGGAAGATAGTAGATCAAAAACTGGTAGTGTTGTTTCTTCAACTACAGTAAAAAGAAAGAAAAAAGAAAATAAAAAAGTAATGGATTCACCACAAAAACCAAGTTTAGCTGATGAACATAGAAATGAATTAAAGAAGATGATGACAAGTAATTCAGAATCAATTGCTGTATTTGTTAAAGAACATCCTAAATACAACGACCAATTTGAAGAAACATTAAAAGAAATAGCTAGATATTGTAATATGTATCAATTCTTTTGTTATGAATGTAAAGAAGATAAAGTAATTGTAACTAATGCATTAAGTCAAATTCTTAAAGACCCTAAATTGGTTCTTGTGTTTAAAGTAAATACTCCAGTTGATGAAAAATGGGGATTTGCTAAACCATTCTTTTCTAATGATGAAGAATTTAATGATGAAACTATTGATGCTAAAATGCAAAAAGATGAAGGTGGTGTAGTTCATTTTCTTGACTTATATTATGATTATACTAAACAATTACTTGGTGGAGTTGAAGCATCAATAACACCAACACCTGCATGATTTTGTTTTTACTTATAACACAAATATTAATTATCTTATTGGTATTTAAAACACATTAATTTTATGTTATTTTCATAAAAATAAAATAAAAATACAACAAAGAAATCATTTGAGTGATAATTATAACTAAAAATGATGGAATGATAAAAAACCTATGTAAAAACAAAAAAAAATTAATAAAGTTATTAAAAATATATGTCAGGAAAAAGACCACAACAAGAACTTTTACATCATGCTAAAAAACCATTATACAAACCAAAAGACCCTGCACATCCTAATCTTCAAACAGGAAAAAGTATAAATAAAAGAAAATTAACATTAGCACCAAAACCTGTGTCAATGCCAAAACTAACGTTGGCTGCTAATGAAGTTCAAAATACATTACATAAAAATGTTAAAGTAGTTGGAGGACATGAAGTTCATATTCCATCATTTTTAAAGAAAAAACAACTTCAAATACAAAAATCAAAAAGCCTTCATAATAGTCTTAAAAAAAGTTTACAAAGAAAGTCAAAATCTTCTTTAAAGAGAAAAAGTCTTTCTTTAATAAAAAAAAGTATTAGTTTGAAGGAACAAAATAAAAAAATAGTTACAGTACAACCAATGGAATCAAATCCTATTGACTTAAATCAACCTAGTCAAATAGAACAAGTAGACTTAAGTCAACACAGTGGCTTTATTAGTAATGAAACTCCAGAAAACAAAGTTGGTTTAAATAAACTTAGCTGTTTAGATTTGTCTGAAACAGATCAAAATGAAAGTCATCAAATAAAACTTCCTGTCTTTACTAATTTTAATGCAACTCCAATTAATCAAGACATTCAATTATCAGATGAAGAAAAAGAAGAGATAAAAAAACAAATTGCTAAAAGAAAAAGAAGAAGTTCTTTAACACCACTTGATCGCGAGGCAATGAGAAAAGAAAGATTATCTTCTGGAATTAATTCAAGAGAGTTAAATCTTCAAAAATATCGAGAATCATTTTCAAAGAGAAAAGAAAGAGCATCAGCAAGTATGATTGAAAATAA